TTTCTATTTTTAAATGCCACATATGAAAAGGATAAAAACAGCATGAGGGTTTGATATTTCACTTACTAAAATAATATATATTCCAGATACCAAATTCATCCTCCTACCCTTCCTTTTCTTTTTCTTCCTCCCTGTAGGAGACTATCCTAGCATCCCCCAAGCTTCTTTTACACTAACTCTATGCTGCAGTCTTATAAAACCCTCCTAAGTTTTCTTTGAATGTGACTGCTGGTTGATTATTGGGAGTCAAACAGATGTTCTAAATTTGTGGTGTCAGCACAGAGACTCGCTTTATTTCAACTCAGCACATGTGAATTTATTTTAGTTATACATTTATCTACACAATTATTTGAATTTATGTATTTTTACTTTGCAATCCATATTGTTCAACACTGACCACTACCTGGATACGAACAGCAATGGTCCTATAGCATGCTCCAATACTTTTCATGAACAGGGAAGAGCAGAAGGCTATAGGATTGCTGGTTAATAGGACAGAGCAGAAAGGTCACAGAGTTGTTACGCCAAAGCCTCCTGTTACCTTCCCCTTACTCGCTGCTATTTCCTTGGAATGTTTGCATGCGCTCGACAGCAATTATCTCCCCTATGAAACTCACAGAGCCAGGCTTACTGTCAAATCCCACACCTCACTGCACATTGGTAACATACTTGTCTTTAAAAACGGAGCGTCAGCTATGTGCAAAATGTCTGGCAACTGCAGTCTCTCCTGCTGTAGGAAGGGTGCAGAATTTGTGAACTTCTATGGTGTTTGTTTATAAGGTGGGCTCAGTAAAGAAGAGTGTTTTTCACTGCTTTGTCCGTAACACAGCATCTGACTGGACTCTTATTTCTGCACAATGTGTGACTCCGATTACATCATTCCGCTCAGTGCAGAACGGGCTGAGGCGGCATATGGAAAGAATCACGAGTACAGATCCCCTCGGCCAAAAATGCACTGCTGGTGGGGAGTGCTCTAGGGGCCACTCAGAGATAAAATGCCAGAAAACACATCTATATCCTCTGTTCTGTGTAAAAGAAGATAATAAGGCTTAAATGTAAGGACAAACTTTCCCTAAGATTCCCCTAGATATCAAATCCCAGGAAAACCAAGTGACTTATTTAACACCAGCTTTTAATTTTTACAGGCAAAACCATTAAAGTCAGGCTACTTTTACTGAAATATTAACGCACTACATTCCCCTGCTCTTGCTAGTCTCCAAAACATTGCCCGTTCCCATATTATTCTGGGTGATTGTTATAGTTAACTATTAGCCATTGCCCCCTTGTTTATTTTAAAAATGTAAACCTACTCCAGGATGTGGCAATTACGGATGCTCTGTTAGGAGCAGCACACCCATCAACATCGGTTGTTATGACAAACAGCTCAAGCTCTGCTAACCAACATGAATGGGAACTCAATTAAGGATGTACTTTATTATGTGATATAAAATGGCTATTATAATTGATGAGAAAAGACAAAAGTGCTTAATTACATGCCCCTTCCATGCATGTCTCAGTTACCAAGAGATTTTCTCATAGTTGTATCCTGAGATATTTAAGCATATTTGGACTATTGAGGATTTTCGCTAATGTAAAGATGAAATTTAAAATTTCAGTCTCCTTAATCTCCTGCCATTCTGGGACAAATAACCGGTGATATTTTAAACTACATTTGTTTTATGCAACTACTGCACACACTACCAAAATACACTTTTGCTTTCTGGTAAGGCTTAAATTTTATTTAATATCATCACAAAAATTAAAGGAAACCCATCTAACTGGATTCTTTTTTTTTTTTTTAAATTCTAGAGCTATTTTAGAGTCAATGCCATGTCAGCAGAAGTCAAAAGAAATCCAAATTATACTGTTGAAAGAATCAAGCTGCCAACAAGGAATCTAGATGATCGCTAGATTTAACTTTCCAACACACATTGATGAATCTGTCAGTGATAAGTAGATATTTTTTTGGCAATTTACATGGCAGTCTAGGCACTTACATTATAGAGGAAGTCTACGGAGACAAAAGTTCCTCTGATTTTCTCATTTTACTGATACCTCTCTGGACAAGCCCTCTTTACTGGTGATGTAAGGAGTTTTGGCAGATGAGTCTCCTAACATTCAAGGCTCCAAAGTTGGGCAATGTCAAAACCGCTCCCTATTTCCACACTCCCGATGAGAACACGTATGCCCTCAAATTATTTAATGAGGGTAACATTTGTAATATATGACCCAGAATGATATTTTTCCCAAATTCCGAGGAAAACTAAACATGCCTAAATAGACAACTTTGTTGGTTTTTTTTTTTCAATTCCATTGCTGTGACATTGCCAGAACGGTTCATGTACAGTCTTACCCAGCACTTTAGATGCCACAACATCTAAATGTCTGCTAGTAGCGCTCAGGCCACAACTCCCCTGTTCGCTGCGTTTGTTCTCTAGTCTTATCCTAAGTGGAGAAATGTGCATAGTAACAAGTTTTCTGGTACTTTTTCATTGAGTTTATTAGGAAAACCAGATTTACATAATCTGTCTGTCCACTCCTTCAGCTTCTGAACCTGCTGACCTATTTGAGCAAAGCCAGACAGAGCAGTACATGCCTCAGAGATGTTATATTCCTACAGTTTCCTGAAAACCACTGTTGGACAAGGGAGAGGGATCTATATTCCTGCCATCCCGATGGAGCTATAGTGTGAACTCCATGTTGACAGCATTCAGCCATAAGTTCTCAGAGGAAAACCAAAAATGGAAACCAGATCCATGTTTCTGTCACAGCATTTCAAAAGCTGGCCAGTTGGAAATTATACAAAGGGCAGCTTACCCCAGCCCTGTTGCCTGTGTTTCTGATATCCTCCTTCTGTACTGCTCCTACAAACAGAATTGCACCCACTTCTTTTGCAAAGCAGAGAATCTTGATTAAACCTTGACTGTTTGCCAAATTACACATCTGCATCAGAAGGGATTGATAGGAAAAGCATAGCTTCTCTTTCACTGAGATAATGCAAGATGCTTCCTTGAGAAAAACAGTAGTTTGGGGGAGGTAAATATCACCAAAGACAAGTGGAAATAGGATATCTGCTCCTTTCTGATTTGCATCTGCTCAGCTGGGACAAAGCAGAGCATTATGGCAAGGGACAGAGGAACCACAACTAATCCAGGGCAGGAATGACAGGACATAAGGAACCAAAATGAGATTATTGAGACAGTGAGTGAGATGTAGGAAACTGAGAAGACAGACACAAATAAGTTCCACTACTCAAAATATTCTTTGCTCCTCTTTCTTACTGCATTAAAACAGATGGCCATGTAACTATGTGTTTACGCTACTCAAAGTTAAGAAAGAGTGCGAACATTGAAACTGGGGAGGAAGATGTTGACTTTGGAGCAGCCCGTAGGTCCTGTTGGAGATGGTTACACGTCCTTGGATTCACCTCTGCACAGCTCTATCCCTCTGCCAGTGTGCCAGAAGAAACACAGAATTACTCTGGAGGCAAGAAAGACTGAAGTTTTGTACTGCTATGCTTCAGTGGAAGATTTTGGAAATAACCACCACCCTGTCGCACCAATACTTTTCTTCCCAACTCTCATGCGTCCTCTCTTCTGTGACTTGCAAGCAACTTAAGCTCACTGTCCCCCTTCTCTCTCCCACCACTTATTTTGTTCTAGTTCCCGTATTTCTCTGGCATTCACCACTTTAATACTTGGTATAAGGGAACCCCAACACTGCCTTTTAAATCACGCCCATCAGGAGAATATGGATCCCAAGGTATGCTAGCTCAAATCCAGCATAATTCCAATGATGAATGCCATTTATAGGACACTATTAGTTGGTCTTAACTCAGAGAAGGTACAGAATAGTAGTTTGAGCAATGAATACTGCTTGAACAGCTAATGCTGCTTCCTGTGCTGACTTGAAACCTGACTCAGACTTCTGCTGAGCTTGCTGCCACCAGGGAGCTGTGGGACAGCAGCTACAACGGAGGGGAGCGGTGCCCCGTCGCAGCTCCAGCTCGCTGTCCTGGGCAGAAGTCCCTGTCCTGGCAAAACCCACGTTTCCATCCTCTGACCTCCTCACAGTGGCAGCAATCCCGGGCCACAGTCTGCAAGGTGCACTGAGTGGCAACTGCTGCAGGGGGGTAGGGGAAATGCATCTGCCTAAGGAAAAAGGGGAAATAAATTGCTGGTGGGTATGAGAAGGGAAGATGAGGAGAAGGAGAGAGACCTTGAGGTCCCAATTGCTAGTCTCACTCATACAGTGAGAACATTAACTTCAGTGCCCATAGCAAGAGTGTGGCACAGTGAGGACAGAGTAACTTGTGGATGACAACTCATATCCAGGTGAAGTTAATTCAGGAGGTGGTCATCAAAACGCCAGTTACTCAGGCAGTTCCAGTAAAGCAATCGGACAGACAACTCTCTTTATCATGTCCTAGCATGTCTTAAGGAGAGGCCCAAGAACCGTACAGCCAACTAGAGCTGCAAGTCTGAACTGAAGTTCAGACAGATGTTAGAGCAGACCGCAGAAACTTGAGAGTGTCATTTTTACCTACACATAATTACACCTTTTTCATAGGTCCCCCTTTCCTAAATTCTTCCCAAGGAAGAATTACCCAAAAGATATGTATGAGACTGGGAAAAAAAGAGATTAAAAAATAACACCTTTAGCACTTCTCGCCACAAATCAGATATGAAACCCTGCCTTCTGATTGGGACTGGTCTTGGATTTTTTTTTTTTTTAACTTTACAGCAATTAGGATGGTACACAAAGGGTCATGCTCCTTCTTTCAGCATTAATTTGCAACAGGATAAGTCCAGTGAAGGTGAAAAGCTGCGTGTCACTGCTGGTCCAGATGAAGGTAAATGCATTCAGCAGGTTAGTCACTGTTAAACTGAGTGTTAGAACAACTGAAATAAATTAAGCAATTCACTCATCCACTCATTCCTCTGACTGCAAACAGTTTATACAGTAAGAACAACTTAAAAAAAATAAAGACAAAAATCTACCAACTAGGCTGAGCCGCCATCCTCTCCATGTAATCCATGGCCATGCTGATGGCCTCGATGTTTTCAGGGTAGAGCACACAGAACATCGCCAGGGCCCCAAGGTTGTTGCCATAAATTTCATTCCACCGAGCGCTGAACTCCTTCGGGTCCCAGGGAGGAAGGTACTCCAGGGGATTCGACAGCATCGTTTGCACTGCCTCGACCAGACGAGCTGCAATGTGCTGGTGCGTGGTGGTGGCCTGGAGACGCAGAGCCTCTACGTCCCCTTTGGAGAAGTAGAGCATGGGGTAGCTGTCATAGTTGGCATTGACAAAGGGAACCATCGCGTCCGGGTCCTCCCTGGCGCCGTAGGCAAAGGCGAAGCAAACTGCGTGTATGAAAAACACACTTGGGGCTCCCCGTGTGTGAGTCCTCATTGTGGCATCAGATCTCCAAGTCTCAATGGCAGCCAAACCATCTTTGAAATATCCTATGGCAGACAGACATGAAAGAGAGAGTTAGAAAATGAATCCCTCAGAGACTATAATTCAGGATGCTCTCTAGGAATTACGATTCCATCCAGACTTGAAGAACCCCACGTATTGTCCAGCTGGCTTTCAAATCACTTCTATATGAACACTTCAGACAAAACACCTACTGAGCAATTCAGCCTAAAGAAAAACCTCTGAAGAAAGCCCCTTCCCTCCCACATCTTTCCCTCTGGTAGCTGATAGGAGGCAACAGCTGACGCTGACCGCTCTGGTACTCGAGATTTCAAGTAATTGCAAGGGTGCCTAATGCGAGGCAGCGCTGACTGTACTGCAAGCAGGGAAGGGCGGGAGGGGAGGAGGAAGGGGGAGAGCCGGAGAACTTGTGCTGGCAGCAGCCAAGCCTGCGTGCTGCCTTGGCTGATGTTAGCAGCTGGAGAGGGAAGGATGAGGAATGCTGGAAGCTTGCGCCGGGGTCATTTTATACCGCGCTTGAGGCCTCCGGTTCTGACACGTCCTCCTTTTCAAAAAAAACCAAAACCCAACAAAACCAAACCACCAAAAAACCTCAAAAAAAACCCAAGTCAGAAAGAAAAAAAGAGAAGGAGAAAGCAGCAGAGCCTTAGAAAAACAGCTGAAATACCTTGCCTTCGGGACATATAGGATTTTTGCATTACTATTATTTCTTTATTATTATTATTATTTTTCGAAGGGGTTCTCCATTTTGCATGTAGAGATTTACTGCCAGCTACCAAGAAGGCTGAACGTTGAATTAAAGCGCATATTTTCCTACATACATGACTTCTCAAAACGTGCTCAAACGGCAAATCTATGCAGAGGTTAAATGCAAGTATTTAAACATACTAAGTTACTTTGCAAAAATTACCAATTATCTAGCCTGAAGTCTCAGATAAAACATGGCCAGGATCCCCCTGGGGAAAGCCAGCAAATTCCTAGAATTCTTCTGAGGGGAAAGGTTACAGAAAGCAGACCCAAGAGAGGCAGTTTTATGTAAATAATGAACAGTAGTTTTCAATTATTAAAAGGAGAAATAGACAGAAGGAAAGAAAACCTAAACACAAATATGAAATGTTTTTTTCCATGGAAAACCTGTTTCATAGGATTCAGTCATAAAACTCGTAAGAAGCTGAAGCACAAAGCAACCTTTTATTTCTCCCCACAGCTCCCTACCTATAGATGCCAAAATTTTCTAACAGAAACTTAGGCTGCTAAAACCTTATTTAGTGACCCACATCCTGATTCAACAATGTCATTAATACGTATGTAGAAAATGAGACAACCTTGATAGACTGGGTCCCTCTGTGACTACTGGGTACACAGACCCTCTAGGTGCTTGCGTTCAGCTCCTCAAATCAATTTGGGAGCAAGAGCATCTTTGGCCAAGAAGTACATCTTTTCTTGTGCATTCCCGCCTAGGGTAAAAATAATATTGCACCCTGTAACTGCCTACCTTTATATATTACAGTGTGTAGCATAATTGCTTTAACAGAGTGTAACAGAAGCTGACATTTTCATAGTATTTTAATGCATTTTGCAAGTAAGCTTTTCCCTTTTTTTGATGTACACCAATCATTACAGGACACATTACACTGATCACAGGGTGGTGTATTTGGTGATACTTTTACTATATCTACAGTCTCTCACCACATACGCACATGCAAAGAAACATGCACCATAGTTTATCCAAACATACTCAAGTCTACTCATATTCTCATCTATAAATAAGGAAACCATACGACAGCATATTTTGAAAGGAAGGAGGTAAAAACCAGCCAAACCAGTACATTACGTTTGAAATACGATGTCATTTTTCTAACTGTTGAAAAGAACTTCTTTTTCATAACTAAAAAAACCTACCCCATAGGTTTTTTTTAAGCCTCTATGGTCTTTTAGAACTGGGGGCAGAGGAAAGAACCTAAAAAAGAAATCTGAAAAAAAAGCAAAAAATGCCTGTACTTTTTTCTGTGTTTACCATACACTGAAAGAAGTTTCCTGGCTCACGCAATCAGAAAAAAATCCCAGTGAGGACTTCATGCATTCTTTTCCTTGCTTTGATTCCTGTAAGTACTTCTGTACATCAGTGAGATTTAAGCACATGCATAAATTTAGGGATGGTTTTAAGAGTTCCCTAAATCAGGGTCTTTCTGACCAGATATTAGAGAATATACAGTAAGGTTTCCCAGAACTCCTTCTTTGTAAATCAGGACACACATTTCCAGCATTTCGCCATCATCAGCACCTCCAGTGTTGTCCGAAATTCATAGTCCGTATTTTAAAAATTCAGTAACCCCCATAATTTTCTTCCCTCATGCATGTGTGCATTTAATAGAGAAGATAACCCCCTTTTTTTTTCCCTTGTACATGAGAAGCAACCACCATGCCAAGTTGTTTAGACTAACAACTTGCTATATGCTGAGTCAAGATGTGGAAGAAAGTCAGTAGGCAGTGACAAAAGCAGGACAACAAGGTCATTCTTATTTATTCTTGGTTAAATCACGCTGATGCCCTGCCTATGATACAAAGACGATAACCCACGGTAGCCACGATTTGGTAAGGCCAGCAAACCCTGTCCCATAAATTTGCAGGGCTCAACCTCGTGTGACTGGTAGATGGGAATGCATTTAGAAAGGAGTCCTCCTTCCCTTCCGTGCAAACCTCTGTGGAGACACCAGCCACAACCACGTGGAGAGAATTGCCCATGTGAGGCCCTGGGATGGCAGGACCAGCAAAAGCAATAATGAAAACAATCACAAAGCTCCAAATAGAATAAATATGTGGAACTGCGATAAAATCTATCACCCAAATAGTGAGGAAATCTCTGGATGGGCGTATTGGTTGACAGCCAGCTGAATATGAGCCAGCAGTGTGCCCAGGTGGCCAAGAGGGCCAATGGCATCCTGGCCTGTATCAGGAATAGTGTGGCCAGCAGGAGTAGGGAAGTGATCGTGCCCCTGTACTCGGTGCTGGTGAGGCCACACTTCGCATACTGGGTTCAGGTTTGGGCCCCTCACTACAGGAAAGATGTTGCATTGCTGGAGCATGTCCAGAGGAGAGCCACAAAGCTGGTGAGGGGTCTGGAGCACAAGTCTGATGAGGAATGGCTGAGGGAACTGGGATTGTTTGGCCTGGAGAAGAGGAGGCTGAGGGGAGACCTTATCACCCTCTACAACTACCTGAAAGGAGGCTGTACTGAGGTGGGTGTTGGTCTCTTCTCCCAAGTAATGGGTGACAGGACGAGGGGAAATGTCCTCAAGTTGCACCAGGGCAGGTTTAGGTTAGACATTAGGAAAAATTTTTTCACTGAAGGGGTTGTCAAGCATTGGAATGGGCTGCCCAGGGAAGTGGTCGCGTCCCTGTCCCTGGAGGTATTTAAAAGACGGGTAGATGAGGTGCTTGGGGACATGGTTTAGTGGTGGGATGGCAGGGTTAGGTTAACGGTTGGACTTGATGATCTTAAAGGTCTTTTCCAACCTAAACGATTCTATGATTCTACGAAATACAAACTGGATGCTTCTGGATACAGCCATGACAAACCACCCCCGCAGGGATTTCAAAGGCAGAACTGCCTTCAGCCATGCACACCATCAAGCACTTCACTGACTAGGACCAGACCTGGTCACACGCTTCATTGCCTTACTGACTCACCCAGGTAACTCCACAGGGCTAACGGGCTTGATTGCCGTTCCTCAGCTCAACAGCTGCTTAGGAACTACACTGCTCGACAAGATATAGAGAAAACCACTTCAAAAATTATCAGGTGGTTGCAAAAGAACCAAAGCACCTTCAGCAGAAGAACGTGACCAAAACCAGTAACATTTAGGGACTAATCAGAATTCATTACAATGGTATAAAGGTACCTGGTGGGGGGGAACCCACCAAGCCAAAAACACTGAAGCAGAATCCATGTGCAACTGTGTTGAACTCTATACTATGAGGTTTCCTCAGTTAACTTACTTGCATCCTGAAGACTAAAGAAACAGCACTGTTCAAAGACACACATGTACCCTGATTATCTGCATAGCTTAGGTGAAGCCAGACATGTATAGAAAACTGGCCACATAAACTCCAGCTTACCCATTGTGGGTGAGCCGGCCACAAGTTTGTTCGATACACAGGGCTTGAAAGAATAGGAGCTTGGGCCTTCCGATCGCTTAAATTGCACTCACAATACCATTTTTTTAAAGGTAAAAGAATTTCTTATTCTCGTATTACACTACATCATTACCAGCCACATCTTCCAAGAAAAACTTTACTAAGCAACTCAACATTTTCTGAAAATGAAGGGATTTTATTCAGTTTGGAAACCATGACCTGATAAGGTATTAAAAGTTAAAAGGAGAGTGAAGGATGCTTGCCCATGGAAGAAAATGCTAATATGCAATGCACTTTGAAAAGATTGTCACTTAGCCCTAGGTTGAAAGACTGTTTGATTTCTGCTCCATTGCCAGCAGAAACAACCAGTAAAGCACATCAATTATTCTAGAAAAAACAGACTAAATCTTAAGTATTTCAGTTCTCTCCATCTGCTTCAATGAGTAGATGTCCAACTGCAGTAAAAAAAATATTGCAAAACCGTTGCCAGTAACTGAACTGGACATTGGTTTATACAAATAAGTTCACCAAATAAACTTGGTTTGATACACTAAAGGAGAAGAGAGGCCCTGCCACCTGTGCACATAAAGGCTGTGGCAGCAGCTGAGTGGGAGAGGGGGCAGCGGACAGGGGGGTAAGGAAAGGACAGCACTGTTAAGGCCATCAGCTGGCACAGCTGTCCTTGAAGCAATCTGACCTGCTGGTGGATCATTACAAAGATAAAAACACGTAAAGAATCATTGCTTTCTGCAGTACTGGTTCTGATGAACCACTACGGTTTGTTGATGTTTTTTTTTCCAGGACAACGCTTGTATCACTTCTTAAAAAGCAGAAATCATAGGTGTCCCTGCTAGCATCTCCAACACTAGCCCACGACTCACCTCCAACA